GTGTAGCTTTGCGCGAAATTCAAAAACAAAAACAAAAAACAAGCATGAGAACACGCTGTAACACTCAAGTTAAGCCTTACACTTACCAGAGTATCATATAATAAACTCAAAAACGTGAGAGCAATTCTCTTTTAGAGGTGCTCGAGCTTTCGGGTCTCTTTAAATATATTTGAATTACTTTAGTTCTATTGGTATCAATAGTATCTAGAATATCATGACGGTCAGCAAACAGTATAGCTCGTCTGATCCAAAATGCCCCCCCCCCCTCAGTAGAAAGTCTGCGGGATCAAATGATGCAAATCGAGTTTTGATACCTGCGGATGGCAGAGTACAGATAGTCCATTGTGTGGCTTTGTGCTTGACAACAAAGAAACATATTCTAATGCTTTTTAACCATGAAAATATTAAGTATTTATTTAGAATGCCACCAGACTTGTATTAATAAGCAGCATCACTTGAAACCTCCTATTCACAGAGAGTAATATAAATTTACATAAAATAACACAAATACCAACATAGGAACTGTGTAAAGGACAACTGTTTCATTTGAAATTGAGCTGCAGATTTGAAGTTTCAGATCAAGTCATGACATGCTATTCGATTAGGATTAACTGTGTTGCTTCAGGTGCTGTTGATGATTGACCTGCATCTGGTATAAAGCTCTTAAGGAACCTCAGGAATCTTGGCATAACCGACCCATAAGATGACATTCAATTTAAAAATATCAAATATCAACGCGTTTGTTTATCCTTTCAGCAATATATAATATGAAAATTGTGTTGCGTTTTTGGCCCTTTTTGTAGCGGCACATTTCATACATACTGTATAATAGACAATTTTATTACGTTTATATGTTATGTATAGGATATGAAGAATGTTAATTGCCATGCCATTGGGTTTGTGTGTTCTGTTTATAGTGGCATAGAGTATGAAAACTGTATAATGGACTGTAGTCAGCTGACTCACACAACTGACCTCCAACCTGATGACTCCAACCATTCTGAAAGAGACTCACCTGATAAAGATCATCCAGGTAAATCCTTATAAGTTTATCTTAGTTCTGAATTATTTTTTTTTTCGAAATAAAACTGAACTAGTTCCTTAAAAAAGAAAATATGAATAATAGATATCTGATTTCTTGTACCTTGTGAATTTTGATACAAGAAAATAACATCCATTTAATTAACTTACTTAGTATTTTGAATCGGATAGCCGTTTTTAAAGTAAAATGTTTTTGAAATGGTTAGCTAGATTTGTACAATAAAAGAAATAACACCTATATAATCCTCTGTGATATTTAAATGGTCAATTGTAAAAAAAGCAACAAAACCATTCATCTAACCTCCTGAAGCTTTTAAATTAGTTGTCTTTGTACAAGAAAATATCATATAATTAACCCCCTGTGTTTTTCTTATTGGTTGTTTTTTTGTACAAGAAAAATGATATAATTTACCTCCTGCGCCCCTTTAATTGGTCAGAAGTTTTTAAAGTGTGAAAACGTGAGGTACTCAATAGAAGTTTTATTTATTTTGATGTATCACCTGACCTTCAGCTATTTACATACTGTACATATTTAACGTATGTGACCTTTTCTCATAGGGAGAGAGCATTGGTGCATTTAGAACCCGCTGATGCAATTTGAATTAATGTATATTCTCACTCGCAATGTATCTTTTTCATGAATAAACTTTACTGCTTTAGACTATTCAGATACGCAACAGAGTTCGTGTAGAGAGCCTTGTATTAGTGCGACATTTTAGCTTCTATATTGAGTTCACATTTGAACTGACTGCGTGAAATCATAAAAATTCGTGCAATGAGCTAACTTTTGGGTTACTTCACTGAAGCCCCCCATTGGCACAGCAGAATGTCTGCGGACTTACAATGCTAGAAACCGGGTTTCGATACCCGTGGTGGGCAGAGCACAGATAGCCCATTGTGTAGCTTTGTGCATAACTTCAAACAAACAAACAATACTTCACTGAAACTACCCAAGGATATCTGTGTTAATATAAGGATTACGACTAGATTTTTTTTGCTCTGAAATAACTTGAAGTTTATAATTACAGTTTTATAAACGTAAAAAGTAATAAGTTCAGGATTAAAAGCTTGCTTACCTGTTCACGTTACCTAAATTCTATACATAAGGACTCTATTGTGATTTGTATATTAATATTTTAAATTACTTACTACAGACGATATGTCACCGAAGGACAGTGATCCCCGCCTTTCACCTAAGCCTAGAGACGGGCGTTCGTCAACAGGTGGCGATAATAGTAACCAAGATCAGCTGACTCAGTTGAGTGCTGGTAACAAACATCCTGACAATCTTCGTCCTGTTGGGGTAAGGGTTAGGTAACTAGTAAAGCATGCTTTTCTTTCGTTAGTCGTGAAAATTTAAGTAATCGTAAGGATTAACAGTTTCTAAAAATTAATATTATGCAGGAAAGGTATAATACTGACATATTAATTTGTATAATGTAGCATAATGTTGAGAAAATATTATTTTAATAGCCATATCAGCTCCTATAAAGGCTTAACGATACAAGAGCAGAATCATTCTTGTGGGGGACGTATCAACATTTTAAAATTAACCATGAATGCTCTAGCAGAAGGAGTACCAACTTCTTCATCTTTTTAATAATGGCAAAACATTATAGTAAAAGACATAAGAATTTCATTAATCTATAAAACAATTTAATGACAGAATACTTTACTAGAAGGATTCTGTTTAGTCATATTTTTTGACCCAAAGGTTTTATTCCAGTAGATGTCGTAACATCAACTGTAGGAAGCTTCATAAAGTCGTCATAAGTTAATTATAACGAAGGGATCCTATAGTTTGTATGAAAGATACTTAAAATAGGATGAAAACATCACTGTGCTTTAATGTAGCCTAATAACATAAGTAGTTTGCGCAGTGGGAATTAAGATTTATTACAAATTTTAAAAAATGTATAATGATTTTTAATCGTTTTAATTTTGTCACTTAACCGGAAGTTGTGAAAAATTAGCAAACGATTTTCCACTAGAAACAGCAAAATAAAACACAGTAACTTCAGATTACATGTAGTTGAATGATATAACTTAAAAATTCGTTAAATAGGTTTGTAATTAATACGTTGGACATCCTGCTGAATGTGGAAATAACCCTAACCAAAGGGTGATTTTATTGACAGGAAAGTTTTTTACTGAGAAATCAACAACCATCCGAACTCCAAATAGAAGAAGAACAGTTAGATTTGACAATAGAACCTTCAAGTTTCCCGGAGGATCACCAAGTGGCATCTATAGGCTCTCCTACGGAACGGTCAAGTACATCTCGGAAAAGAAAGTTTTCTGGGGGATCAACTTCCCATTCTGCTCAAAGCGAGCTCTCCAGGTCCCGTCCTGGAAGTACATCTAGTCTGCGTAGCTCAAGTCCGCTCGCGAACGGAAGTTTCCTACATAATGGTGCTACAAACAAAAGCTTCAGCCCAGATAGACAGGTGCCGCCAGCTAGTGTCGAAGAAAGAATAAGTCCAAGAACTAGTAAAAAAGGTAGGGAATCAGTTGAAACTGTTGAAGAAGTTCAGCGACCCTGGAAACGATCTCCAGTTCCCCCGTTTGGTGCTTATCCTGCAACAAATGGATCTTCTGCTATGACAGTAAAAGAACTGGAAGATGTTATGAACAAGCATTTACCTAATTCACAGATTCCTGGAATAGTAGGAACTGTGGCGCCCCCTCATGGCAGCCCGACCCAGGAGATGATGGCATCACGCATGGCTCACTCTCCACAGTCGCATCAACAGTACAGGTCGACAATCCAGTGGATCGGTGGATCTCAGACAACGCTCCCTGCCACGACATTGCTCAGACAACTCTATGTAAATCGAGAATCGGTAATTCGTTCGGGGGCCCACGCGAGCAGACCTTCCTATTATGGTGAAGTTCAGGGGGCTCTACCCACGCCGCCAGGGAGCAGCACTGATGGTAGCTACAGTGACCAAACTCAGTTTATGTTGCCTGCTAAGATGGCTGCAGAATCTTACGGCGTCCTCTCCGGCTATTCGACCGCACCTGTCAATGTCAGTAATTACATGGATACATACAGTGCCATGACTCCACCGGCCTCTGTGTCCCCCCGAGAAAAGTTCCCTGGGATTGTAGAGAGCCAGACATTTAGCGATACGGCTGCTCTTCCTCACATGAGACACTACGTCTCCGAGAGTCCACTTCAGCACCTTCCGTTGAAACCTCAGGTGTTTGTCCACCCTGGGAGCATCGATCCCTCGGCATACAGCCACCCTCATGCTCAACAATCCATGTCTCACGAGCAGCGACAGCTCTACGCTCATCATTCTAGAAGCTTTCATCTCTACCACCCTCCGGGTGGAGGAAAGCCTACACACTCAAATACCACCGCCTGGTATCCTCAACCTAGCTCATAGTCAGATCCAGAACCTAATCAGAACCTAATGTCAGATCCACATATCTTAATATAATGGGAAACAGACTTCTTAAGTTAGCCAAAATATGATCCAGTTTGATGTTCCGAACATAATGGCTAGCGGAATTTTTTTGTTTTTGTTTTTAGCTGCCCTTGTGTCCAGAAAACACGCGAACCTTATTAAAACAACATAAAATAAAGTGCGAAAAAGTATTTGAAGAAATTTCCAGTCACCTTAAAAAAAAACTGTAATACGATCAGCATGTCACTTTGAGAAAACAGATATGTGAAGTGTTCTTGCAACAGAGCCCTCTATAGTGATATTCCTCTGTAGACATAGTTGTGCAGAGTTAACGTTCTACGCTTTGTTTCGCCTGTGATGGCAGGCACGTTTAAGGTAAGTGAAAGTGACACACAAGGTCGCGATCTGGGTTTATATAGTGCGTGATAGTAAAAAAAAAAAAAACGAGACTCGTGTTAGGTAGTGTGGCATATTGAATACCGTACCAGGTAAAGGTTATAGGTGCATGAATGTGACACTCGGATTCTTGTACAAGAAAGAACTATAGGACCAGTTTGTGCGTGAGTGTGACATTACAACTAGTACCAAGTACCACTGGTAACGGTTACTATCTGGACATTTATACACTTTCAATCTTTTTGCTGAAGTGATTTTTTTTTCCTGAATTTTCAAACTCTTTATCTCGTTTTCTTCATGTAACGTAAATGTTGTGGGGTTCGTAGACAAGAGTTTACAGCCTGGTTGATTTTACTTACGCAACTAGCTTATTGTTTCTTTTACAACCGAACAGAATATGCATCGTGCTGGATTAATCTGGTATTATATGTGTATATAATTAGGCCTACTGGTGTGCAAAATGCTATTGTTAGGTAACTTGACTTAAAATATACACTGAAAATTCTTTATTAAAATTCTTTATAAATTCTTTAAATCGTATAAAACTTTTAGAGTTTTCAATATTTCTTATAGATTTCTTTTTTGTTCGGCTCATTTTAGTGTTGGCATTCTTCTGCTGGTTTTAGTATTGTCACATGATCCTACTAGTGGATGATGCTTCGTCATGTGATCATACGGTTTCCTCACGTGTTTATCACGTGATCATAACACTAAGATCAATTTCGTCAAGTAATTGTTAGTTTTGTCACGTGGTTTTCATATCAGGTTATGTTTCCTTCGTTTGTGTTTACTTCTACCACACGATCCTAATTTTAGATCCAGTTGTCTCAAGAAATACCTACTCTCTCTCTTTAATGTTGTTACCTGATCCAAATGTTGGTTTTAGTTTTGTTATATAGCCTTTCTGTGCGATTTTTTGTAATACGTTTTTCAAATCCCAGAGACTTAAAGCGACTTTTGCACCACCACATGTGTCACACCATATGTGTCATTACTAACAGCTTCTACCTCACTTGCCCAAAAAGTGCTCCTTATTTGACAAATTTTATATTTGGCTATACCTTAGTATGCATATAGCATTCTCAGTTTACGTTTTATTTTGTAGTGATATTACAGTCCTGTACTTTAAAATTTCCTTAAAAGCAAGATGTTACTTGTGTCATATTTTACTTTGAACTTAGTGAGTGTTGTGCATAAAATTGAAAGACTTCTGCAAGTGCATATTCTAAAGGAGCCATTTCGGTTAGTTTGTATAGGTTATTATAACTGGGTTAATATTTCAACCGTATTTATTGTTAGTTTCATGATTTTTTTTTCAGGACACTCAATTCCATAATATGTTATGTTTGAGACAGCTAAATACACAAGCGTCTGAATTAGTCACGTGATTACTGTAATAATAAACTATAAGTTGGCACTACTGAAAAAAGTGTGGCACCGGTGATTGTATTGAATTGAATCAACTCATCTCGCAGGGAGGGAAGGGACGTAGTGCGTTCTTTATACTTGATTTATTAATAATATATATATATATATATATATTGGAG